AAAAAAAAAAAAAGCTGTTTAACAATGAAGAAACTCAAATGATGCCATACTGAGCGAGTTCATGTAGCTCTAGATGACTGTACGCTTCCCAGGGACAGATCACTGTGATATCTGAAAGGGAAATAGTATTTCATAATAAAAAAACATTCCAAAATAAGTACATATTAGAGATGACGTGAATGTTTTAACTGTGCTCACCAGTGCCAAGTCCCTCCATTCCCGGAATCTCCTCTCCAAAGCTAGAGTTAAACATAAATTATAATCTTTAATTACTTTTATTTGGTTCCCAATAAACTTTATTGACAATCACGAACATATTTGTGGAGGTCTTACCCAATGACTCCCCTCTTCGGGGGCTTGCTCTTGAATTGACGAGTGTTTCTCTGCTTGAACTTGGGCGGGCCCTTTCGTGGGGAACCGGGAGCGGTTGCTCTGAGAGGGGCTTTGCCGCCAGTCTTCGCTTCAGGTTTGGCTATGTCCACATTCATTCCTCTGTTTTGAGACAACTGCAATGCTACAAAAAGGGAATACCAATGAAGATAAAAAAAAAAAAAACTGAGACAAATAAGTAGTCCTCTTTATAAGACTGTGGGAAAGCTAGAATTATCCACATTACTTTCTGCTGAACACGTCGAAACAAATAAAGACAATGTGCTTAACCACGGGTTGCAGAGGCTCCTGTAATCTGATGGTCACGTTTTTAATCAACACTACATGATGACTCTAATCTATAAAGCTCCCTCATAATCAGATTACTGTGAGGACATGCTGAATTTACTGCCGAACCCAGTGTATCATAAAAAGCACAACGATTTGTTTCTTAATGAAAGCTTCTGTTGTGAAAGTAATAAAAAATTACATTTTTTTTATTACAACTGAAATATTCCACAAATACGTAATTTGTTTACATAAAGTCTTAATTCATTTTATGTTATAGACTGTGTTGATTGCATTTGTTTAAGTGCAGGACTAAAGGGTATAATAAAGATGTATGAGGGTATACTGAGCACAGCTATATTATTCTGATGATTAGATGATTACCACATCTGTAACCATAACATCATCGCTAAAGTTTAAAAAATATGGATATGTATTGTCTCTTCTGTATAGCCAGTACAGAAGAAACATCTTTATCTTGAGTTTCATAAATAAAATTTAAAATGTTTCCGTTTTAGCTAAGGACATCCTAATAGAGCAAACAGAGAGCTAGTTTACAGACTGTAGAGAAAAATGACTGAATGTAATTAACTAAATTCAAATTAAACGGAAGAATGTCCAAATAAATAGAAAAAAAAAACAACGATGTCAAGCAAGCTTCCAAGATTTCATTTGAAATTCCAGAATGCTAAAATTGCTTAGATATAACATTAACTATTGTATATAGATGTGTGTCTAAATAGCCCACAAAAAACAAGCTGTATTGTTAATTCATATACTTACCACTTCTGTATTTTCCCAGATAATCCGACAGATATCTCTCTTTATGTCAAATAACTCTTGCGCTTCACTCTGTCCTTTTATACACTTCAAATTCTGAGGGGATTAACATGCGACAAGCCAATAAACTGGACACACGTCATTTGTATTCCATATGGGTGCAGAACATTGGGGGAAGTCATGGGGCATTTAAGGACACCTTTCCTGCCCCTGAGAGACACTCAACAGCAGAGACACATGCAAGTCATAATCAGGAACAATGGGAATAATTTGTGTATCTCCACAACCTTCCAGAAGTGTGCCGTGTAAGGAACAGTTATTATTACTTATGAATATGTGAAATGTGCTACGATGCTCACTATCTTCCCACTCCTCAGCAAGCATTACATAACACCCAACGTCAAGAACACGCGAGTGTGATCTCTGGACATTTCACTCTCATCAGCATTCTTCCAGATTGTGTTGCATTATACATGATAATCCATTTCATCCTCCCTCCCACCAGAATAAACACATACCTGGTTCATTCATGTGATTGACTGCAGCTTCTTAATCTGGAGTCAAACTTACGTACTGCATTGAAAAACTATGCAGCTAATAACTTCCCTTACTTTTTATTCACAATGAGATTTGAGGAAGTTCAGTTTCTCCTCCAAACAGTTTAGTGTCCAGAATATATTCTATGCCAATATATTTACACATGTGGCTTCAACAAGGTATCCATGCATTGAACATTTTAATTATAATGCTCGTTACATTGTTTTCTCTTTATTATATAATTAATAATAATAATATCAAATGTAATTGGTAGTAGTAGTAGTAGTAGTAGTAGCAGCAGCAGCAGCAGCAGTAGAGGTAATTACAACTGAATGAGGCTTCATCTAATCTTTCTGCCTTTTGTAAATGTTAGGTAAGAAACTAAAAGCAGAAAAGATCTGCCAAACAAGAACCCTTTTAACTCAAAGCTGATGTTTTGTTGACCTCTAGCGGTGAGATAAATTCATAACAACCTCTTCAGCCAATGAGGGTGGACTTTTATCAAAGCTCGTCTGTTGTTATAGTATATCACTTCGCAACTTAAACGGACGTTAAGATTTGTTTTACTTAGTGCATTATTTAGTTATTTATCATTTCCCACCACCCAAAAGTAAGATTTGTGAGATAATTTTTCAAAATTTTTTGAGCCTACGAAAAAAGGCAATAGTATTTTTAGACATTAACTAACTGGAAAAATATTAGAGGGAGATCTCCTAACTTTTTTTTTCTTTGTATCAGGAAGGTTGCGTGGAGAGTTTCCTGGCTGTAACATGGTGTCCCACGTGTGATAATGATACTAAGTGATTTATAATATTATCATGGGGAAGAATAAAACAGGTAAAACCAAGGAGTCAAAAAGACAAGCTGACAAAACCGGACAAAATCCGAGGTAAGCCCAGAAAGCTGGCGTTTAAAACAACAACAATGTGCAAGCTAGCTAGCAAACTAAGCTAATTGTTTTTAGCTCTCTCAGTCTGGTTTGGGGCCTGTAACTGCGGCAGAAGATGTTAAATCAGTGGCCATAATCGATCACAGTGCACCCCGTTCCTTTAATAACTAAAATATAAAATATGCTGTCATATTTCAGCAAAAAGAAAATTAAAGGAGATGGCAAACCTAAGAAAATCGCACAGGAGGACCACCTCCAACACATTCCCTTCAGGCTCCGAGAAATAATGAAGAGCAAGGATAAAATGAAAAACGAATCTTTGGGGGGCAAAAAGCTAAAAAAAGGTGAGCAGTTAAAGTCTGCATGTCTATAATAATGCACTTAGCTTTTTAAATGTGTTTAAATTATTTGCACTTGTGTCTCTTTAGCCCTCTCTTTGCAGTCTAAACCAAACGATGCCCTAGATGGAGACATAGCTGTTCCTCGATTCAGGAAGGGGAAGACAGAAAGTGTCGGTGCCTATGTTAGGCGCATGGAAAATGAGACGCAACATGTGTTGTTCCTCACAAATAACCAAGTGGAGAGAAAACCTGAGCTTGAGCCGGACAAACAGGAAAAGGCTGCAGCCAAGGGGAAGTCAGAAAAGAAGAAGGAGTGAGTAAACGATGCCATATCAAGGAAATTTGTAATATGTTGCACTGCCTTTATAAAGCCTTGTTCTTGTCATATCTACTGTAAGTAAAACAGCTGGTAAAGATGACTTTCTAGTAACCCAAAGCAAGTTTGGGTTACTTTCTGCTGATTTATTTTTCACACATTTTACTCTAAAATTAAATATCTTTAATCCATATATTATCAGTGTGTTTTAATTGTGCACCTATGTTCTACTGTGTGTTGCTGTAGGTATTCGAAAATGAGACTGAGCAAACTGCAGCAGAAGAAGTTGGATAAACAAGAGGACAAAATAGAGAAAGAGTTGTTTGTAGGTAAGAAATGGAAGTACACATTAAAAATTATCTCCCACATCTGCTTATTTATGGTGTTTTATGCCAGTGGTTGAAAGTCGAAGAAATGATTTACCAGTTAGACTTTTAATAATTTACAAACTGACACAATTAAGAATAAATCAAACAAAAGTAAAAGTCAGTCAAGACTGACCATACTCGTCAACGAAGAAAGGTCTTGTCACAATATGACAACCTAAATAACTACATATTGTGTTATATTACTAGCTTTAATTCTGCATTATTAAACTGCTTTCAGTAAATTGTAATTTTTTATTTATTTTTTTTAATATTTTGGCAAATTGATTTCATTACAATTCAGAAGGCTTAGACGCAATTATGAATTGATTGATGACGTTTGATTTTCTCTTTACATGTAAAATTCACTTTGAACTGCCAGGATGTTCTACTTATGCCCCTCAGAGTTCTGCTTGTATAATGCAATTCTTGGTTTACATTACAATTGTGGCATGTAAAATACAAAAATTCATTTCTGAAAAGGAAAACTGTTTATTTTTCTTGAGAATACTTTTTAGATGAATCGACTAATTGTGTTGATAGATTAATTGGTTAAAAATAAAATGTCCTTAGTGGGCCTAATATAGATAATGAAACTCAAACATCTGCATAAATTTTACAGAAACCATTTAGAGTTTTGCATCAGATTTAAATCTGAAAAAAAAATATTTTATATGTTTGAACTCCGTGAAGCTCTAATAATTTGTTTCATTTTGTAGATAATGTTCCATTTGGTGAAGTTTCCATGGCTCCACCATCTCTGAGCACCAAACCAAAGAAAGCTCCAGTCAAAACTCAGGTATTCATACTTTGCATTGAACACCTGCTGTCCTACCACTTTCAGTGCTTGTAAAGTAGTTAACTAATTCTTTTCCCACCCCTATTTAAAAAACAGGGGTCAAAGGAGTTGCTCCTCAACTCTCTGCTCGGCCACAGCATGGCCTCCACAGCGAAGCCCTCCATGGCCAGACAGAGGATGATGGAGGAGGAGAGGCAGCGAGCAGTGGAGGCCTATCGCCTGCTGAAGAAACAGAAACAACAGGAGCAACAGACCAGAAATGCCAGCCTGGGAAAACTCTTGAACCTTGAGTGACGTCTAACGTCACCAAAATCAATATAACTGCTCATCTCCAGTTGGTGTGATGGGCTTCAGCAGGCCTTGATATACAGACTTGACAGAATGATAATCTCCTCTGGATTCCTTAGAGACTCTACTTGCAAACACTTTACACCGCATTTTTAAAAATATGCAGGATTCACCTACTTTCATAAAGTTGGGTTAGTTGGTATTAGGACATTAAAAAAAAAGAGAGATTGAACATGTATAATTACTGGAAAACATGTAAATGAGTAAACATTGGATTACTCAATGGGTTAATTGTGTTGGTTATTTCCTCATAAATGCTTGTTTGCATTTACACTTCCCATTCAGGTGTCTGCGTAAGTTCACTTCACCATGCAAATATTCCATCTTCAGGCAAACCCAGTGGCGTCATAATCACCACAAATTCATAAATCATAGTTGTTGTTTTTTTTCTTTTTTTCCCATTTGCTTATTTTGCAGGGAATAGTTACTTTTTGTTTTGTATTTGAGGATAACATTCCCCTTGTTGAAAACTGGTCTACAGTTGACCTAGATGGATAAAAAAGCATTTTCAGTGGAACATTTTTTCTTCTTGTATGACCTAATGTAGTCAACTTTTGGATCTTGTGCTGATTTTTGTAGCCACTGACCTTGACTCTATCTTGACTTGGTAAGAGTAAAAAATGAACATTTTACATTTGGTTTGATCATCACCACCAACTTTATAACATGAAAGACCCAAACAAAGTATGTAAACATACAGATGGTCTGTAACAGCCTCAGAGGCCTGTTAGGACTTCAGTGAGCCAACAACAGACCAGTCAGGGTCCTCACTGGAAAATGACCAACAGACCTTCCACCTATGATGAAGAAAGTTATCAAGATAAGCAGCTAAGAGTCCTACATTAACCAACGGAGCTGCAGAGATCCACATATGATGATTCGATTGAAAACATATCAATTAAGCACCCCACAAAACCGACCTTTATGGAATAAGAAAAGCCATTGTCAAAAGAAAGTCTAAAAGTTTTGCCACAAATTATGTTGTTGACAAAGCAAATATGCGGAATGCGGTGCTTCGGTCCAGTCTGATCAAAATTAAGCGTTCTGGTCTGCATGTTAAAAGAAAAATAATACACCTCCAGAGGTAAAGCATAAGAATGTGTTGGAATGATCCAAGCTCCAGTAGTAAGAAGCTCTAGAGACACTCTCCATCAACTCTCCCGAGGCTTAATCTATTTGTAAGAAAGTAGGTCCAACAGCAATAGGAGCAGCAGACAAAAGCAGCTCAACAATGTATTACCACATGGTATGAGCAGAAGAACATGTACATTTTTCTAATCATTTAAAAAATGATTGAATTCTAATTTTTCCTAGATTAATCTAAGCATATCTCCTTCCCAGGCCGATTGCTGTTTTACAAGTTTAAGTAATCTGCCTTCACCCTTTGGAAATCAAGTTTGTCTCTTGTCTCAGTAAGGAAGAGGCATTTCTGGTCTGAAAAAAAAAAAAAAAAGAGGTTTTACATTTTCTGAAAACAATAAATCACATTAGTCTTTAGAAAAGTGGAGCACCTGCCAGGCTGGTGCAGCTTTTTAATTTTGTAACCCATTAAAAGACTTACTGACATGAACAAGACCTTTGTTTAGACATTGGAACAAGCCTAGAAGCATTGTTTGAGAGCTTAGCGATTCAAAAGCGTACTGGATTGCAAAGCAAACACTGGGTTGACTCTATTTACACAATAGCAACAGTGCTACCAGGTTATGCAGCAGATCTTGCCTTCTCTAGATCAGAACTTGTTTTTTTGTTTTAATGTTGTTCCTTTGACAATAATTAGGAAATGCATGGCCGGTGCACGTGATGGGAGTGCTGACTCCCTGCAGCTGAGCACATCCGCCCCCGCTGCAGCACATCAGGCCGCCGCTTGTGCTATCAGGAAGTTTGCAGTTGCTTCCTGCGCTTCTGGGCACCAATCTGGGTCACTGACCAGGTACAAAACAACTACCACACCCAGAAACTCCTTGTTACCGTCTAATGCATTTTGAAACGCCCTGTAATGTTTTTCATTAATCCAAATTGAACAGATGTTGTTTTATTATCACACACAAACAGCTAAACTAGTATGTGAAAAGGCTTTTTGTAAACCTGACCCCTTTTCCTTGTTTTGGGCTTTTAGTCTAGATCGTTTTGGAAAGTGGACAGTGCTTCTTTGCATGTTATGGACCCTTTCCAAAGTTGACATTTGGCTAGGTTATGGCACAAAATGTGTTAGTATAGAGACTGTTTTCCACATGAGGAAACAGCGGAGAGGTTCTGCATATTTGGCTCTCTGTCAAGATTTACTGGGTCGCAAAAAGGAACATAGCCCTCCTTAAAGGGATAGTTTAATTTTTGTTTTATAGGTGAGGGATCTAAGCGTTGGCAGATAAACAAGACTGTAAAAATACCAGTTTTATGTAGATAAAACTACACAATGTCATCTGATTGTGTTTAACACAAAAGCAACAATTATACATATTAGCTCAAAATAAATTGAGCATATTATTAATATTCAATTTTAATCTATAGATGTTTTCAAATAAACATGTTTTTATTAAATATTATAAGACAGTATCAACCTTTTATTACTCCTTTTTTCAGCCAGCTGATTGGCTGTGTGCAGCAGTTGTTTGGGAAGAATCCTTCCAGAATTTTTTTCTGACATTGAATTTAAAGTACTTTAAACTGTAGGAATGATGGAGTTCACTTTTTTAAAACATGGTATTACCAATAATTAGCCCATGCCTAAAGACCACCATTACTAATATTTTCCTTCACAAACTTTTTTTTTTTAAAAAGATGTTGAAATATCCCTTCACCATCATTCATTAACCCGTGCTTCCTGAGGTATGACAACTCAAAATCTGTGCCGTGAAAGAGGTCTATTTGCAAAACCTTTTATCACTCACGTGCACCAGGGGAAGCAAGCTCAAAGCACCACAGGAAAAAGCACTTCTCAGCATTTGCCGTGACGTTCCCCTGTACAAAGCTGGAAGTGTGTGACTTCCAGCTTGTCATCCATCTAATTTCCGAGCGAGCGCTCAACGCCGCTCGCAGAACGAGAAGGTGGGAGTAATTGGTAGAAATTCAGCCGATTCAGCCTGCTGCTAGGCAGCCACGGCTTCATCAGAAGCTCTGAAGTATGAAAAGTGTGTGTGTCAGTGTGTGTGTGTGTGTGCTTGTAAGTGAAAGGGTGACAAATTAGATGTAAATAATTGTAGTTGTCCATGCAGAAAATGTGACCGACTCGTTGAAAGTCAAAGCGCCTGCAAAATGGGATTAGTTTGGAGCATATTTTCATTTAAAATTCAGACTGTTTACATGCGATTCTTGCTCGTTAAATATTGTGTGCAGCTATATCAATAGGTTAAGCAATGTACTCCTTATTATAAATATATTAATAATTTCTGTGTGAAATCAAATATTTCCTGGCCCTTAGCTCCCCACTTTTACCAATTGCAAAGCCCACCAACACTGTGACAGCACATGTGGCTTCAGATAAGCCTTATCGGGAATGGCAGATGTAAATGTCTGCAGTAATCGGGGTGAATGCTCCTCTTCCAGCATCTCACATAAATTACCTGCTCATTTTTATTTTTACATTACAAAGAGTTGACACTCAGTGACGTGATTCAATAACTTAGGATTTATTTTTAAACATTGATTTATTTTTTTTAAACAAACCATCATTCTACAAAATTAGGATTGCTACATTTAGTGAATAAAAAAATTAATACATTACTATTTGCCTGCAGTTCTAATCATTGTGTTTTTCAACGATCATCCCACCTTAATCTTGGAAGATGATCAGTTTGATCTAAGAATATTTCAGTCATTGCTCCTCTTTAAAGGTTTGATTGCAAAGAAAGGCACGACAAGAACGTTTTAATTTTGTAGCTCCATTTACATACACTGAATAAAAAAAAAAAAAAAAAACATTTTTTTTCTCATAGTCTTAAATTAAATCA